AAGACTGAAATTAAAAATGTTGCTACTAGTCGGAATAATGTTAAATTACAAACTTATCTTAAATGCTGTAAACATCTTCAGCCTGCATTCCAATACTTTTTTATGGAGAAATTTCCATCTCCTGAGACGTGGTTTGAAAGGCGATTAGCCTATGTTCGCAGTGTAGCGACAAATTCAATGGTTGGATATATACTGGGTCTAGGAGATCGACACTTTAGTAATATTTTACTTGATACAAAAACTGCTGAAGTTATACACATTGATTTTGGTAATAACTATTATTCATAATATGGATATTAATTGTTTTTATCATTAAAAAAAAAATTTTTTTATTTCAGGTATTGCATTTGAACAAGGAAAAGTTTTGCCAGTACCTGAAACGGTTCCTTTTCGCCTGACTCGTGACATGGAAGCAGCAATGGGAGTTTCGGGCGTTGAAGGTGTCATGCGTAAAAGTAGTGAAGAAACAATGTCAGTGTTACGTAATAGAAAAGACATAATAATCACACTTTTACAAGTTCTTCTTTATGATCCTTTATTTTCTTGGGCAATAACACCTGCTAAAGCTTGGGAACTACAGAGTGATAGTCCTGGGCATATTAAGGAGGAAAGCCATTTTGGTAAATTATTTTATAAAATATGTCAACGATTTAATTAATCTATATTATTAAGAAAATAAGTAAAATTTTATAGCCAATGTATTTATATTATAAAATGTGTTTTTATGGTTGAATATGGTATCGTTGGAAAAGCCTTGATTTGAATTTGTGCCTTTTCATGGTTTCATATTTAGGCTGCATTCAAAAATTCTCTATCTCTAGATATATAATTAAGAAATGACCTTGTATCTTGTGAACTATTGAAATTTTTAAAGATATAAGCTTACCCTGACATTACACTCATTGAGACCTTTCATTTGAGTACCAACATCAATATTTCATATATTTTATATATTTATATATATATGTATATATGAAAAATATACCAAAATGCATGTGGGTATTCAAATGAAAGCTCTTGATGAGTGTAACATTGGGATGAGTTTATATCTTTAAAAACGTCAATAGTTGAGAAAGTATACTGCAATTTAACATAATTAAGAAATGACCTTGTATCTTGAGAACTATTGACATTTTTAAAGATATAAGCTCATCCCGATGTTACACTCCTCAAGACCTTTCATTTGAATACCAACATCAATTTTTCATATATTTATATATATGTATATATGAAAAATATATAAAAATGCATGTGGGTACTCAAATGAAAGCTCTTGATAAGTGTTACATCGGAATGAGCTTATATCTTTAAAAATGTCGATAGTAAAAAAAGTACAGTGCAATTAATAAATAATAAATTACTTTTTTTTTTTTTTTTTTTTTCATAAAGGTGATGGCAAACTTAATAAAATTGCCGAGAGAGCTTTATTGAGAATCGAGCAAAAACTTATAGGAACTGAGGAAGGATTGGCTACAAGTATATCAGGTCAAGTTGAACGACTTATTCAAGAGGCGCGAGATCCTGCTAATCTTTCTCGACTTTTTTGTGGTTGGCAGGCGTATTTGTAATTGTTATATTGATATTATTTTTTTTTATTTTGTATTTCTTAAAAATTAAATTCATAAGAATGCCTAAATCTAATATAGCAATAAAAATGTGTGTTGGTTTCTATGATAGTCAGCTATCTGGTAAATTATTAAAATTTGTGTCATTTTTTTATGTGATAATGCAAAAGTTAACATACATTAATATAAGAAAGAAAATTTCACGACAGATTAAAACCTTAAAAATTTCAGTTTTTCTTTGTTTCTTCTATAAATAAATGATATTGTTTTTTAATTGTTATGCTAATCATGAAAAAATTCTTATAAAATTATTTTTCTAAGTTCAAACAATCAAAAAATAGATGTAATTATTTTTATACTTAAATTTAATAATAAATATATCGTCTACTGTTAATAAAAATGATGTTCAGTGTTTTAGTAAATAAAAATTTTTTTAAATTGTAATTACTATTAAATTAATATACATTAATTTTATTTTTTCTGCTTTTAAGATTAAAAAATTTTAAATCAAGAAGCTCATTAATTTTATGAATTAACTATAAAATTAAGATGAGGTGAAGAGTGAAAAAAAAGTGAGAGAAAAATGACATTAAAGGTAGCAGTCACTTGATAATTTTTTTATTTCATTTAATAAACAAATTTTTTATGAAAAATTATGATACTGAAGTTAGCTGTCAGCTGTCAATTTTAAAAATTTTAATAACAAATTAATTACAATAAAAAAATACTTCTAAAAATTTTCACTTATAATTTTTATTAATTTTCACATGTGCAATTTGTTAATTAAATTTTTTTTTTTGTAATAATAATTATTTAAAAATTTTTAATGTCTGTCAACTTCAGTGTCATAAAAAATTGCATTTATAATTTTTAAAAGTTTTTAAATGTCAATATTTTTTTCTCATTCTTTTTGCGATAATTTATTTGTTAAAAAAAATTTTAAAAATTATTAAATATCTGCTAAATTAATTATCATGAGAGAAAAACCCAGTTAAAATGAATGAAAATTAAGTTAGCCGACATCTCAGAATTTTTAGAATTTTTTTATTGAAAAAATGATTACAAAAAAATAAAAATTTCATTAGTAAAAAACTTTAAAAACTGTCAGTGCAATTTTTAAAAAATATTTTTTTGTTCTAATTTAATTATTAAAAAAAAAAAAAATTAAAAACGTCGGCTAACTTTTGTATTATTTAAAATTAATGTTTCTTTCTCTCAGTGAATCTTATATAGTCTCTACCTCTACTCTACCACATATAATCACTTTCCACTTAGTAAATCAGTAGAGTCCGAGCTTCGAGCTCTGCTTGGCTTAGCTGCGCTATATCGCTTCAACACAAAGTAACATGCCTTTGTTCTACTTAATTTTTTTAACAATCAAATTCATATTTATAAACTAACGACTCATCAAAAGTGTGCAAAGTTCAATTATATTTAAAACTTTTATTTTAAAAATTTTTAAACATATAATTAAATTATACATTTATATAATTTGCTAAAAAAATATTTAAAAAAAGACTACAATAAATTTAAGATAAAGATGACGAGATAAAAGAGTAATAGTAACAATGAGAATTAGTAATAATTTTGATTAATTGAAGCGAGGGCAATCTGAGTGACCCAAAGTGTTGTGTTAAACGAATTAATTAGTTTGTGCGGTGTTATTTAAGAAAAAAAAAAATAATTACTGTATAGCAATTATAAATACGTACCTAAAACTTTTATTTTATTAAAAAAAAAAAAATTTATTTACTCATCATTAAAATTTTTTAACTCGTTTGCTGGCGATATAAATAAAGTACACATTTTATTAAGCATACAAGTGTGTCTATATCTATAATGTTGATTTACTACACATACATGTCAAACGTGTAGATGTGTCATAGCCGCTAGTAGTGAATTTGTGGTTAAAATACTTACACAAGGCGTGTGTGTACACAAAAAAAATCAACTGAAATATATAGTCGTAATTAAATGTATGACCTTCGTTTAATGCTTAGATATATAATTGATACAAATTTATCAATAGCTAAAATATGTAAAAATATTTTTAAAGAGGATAATTTTTAAATAAAAGGAGAATGTAAAGTAGAACAATTGACAAAGGTAAATATTTATTATTAGGTTGTTAAACTAATGAATTTTTTTTTTTTTTAGATTTAAAATATAAAAATTATTTTTAGAGTGAAATAATTAAACATGTTTTATTATATATTGAAATCTTATCGGGTAGTCAAGGTTGCTAATAGTCTTTCCATGTTAAATATTTTTATTGCGTTTTATAAATAAAATTTCCTATATTGGAAGTAAAGATTCTGAAGAAAATAAAACAAAAAAAAAATTTTCAGTCTTAACAGCTGAGCCTGACGCTCCAAGGAGATAAGGCTTATCATATATAAAAGCATTGAAAAACTACATTCCCATCGGGCTTGTTTTTAAGTTTTTTTATCTAACTCCATTCGACAAGCTCAAATTCTTTTAAAATAAATCCATAAAAATTAAGTTAGCTGAAAAAAATTGTTACATAAATATTTCATTCGTAAAAAATTTGAAAAACTATAAGTGAAATTAAAAAAAAAAATATTTTTTATTTATAATTTAATAAATGAAAAAAAATTAAAAATCTCGGTTAACTTTACTATTATACACTGAAAAAAAAAAATACTTTTATTAAGAAAATTTTCTTGATATATTCTTTTGAAGTTTTTTTTATTTTACTTCATTCGACAAGCTCAAATTCTTTTAAAATAAATCCATAAAAATTGATAAAAATTAAGTTAGCTGATATTTGAAAATTAAAAAAATTATTACAAAAAAATTTCATTCGTAAAAAACTTGAAAAACTATAAGTGAAATTAAAAAAAAATATTTTTTAGTTCTAATTTAATAAATGAAAAAAAATTAAAAACTTCGGCTAATTTTAGTATTATACACTGAGAAAAAAAATACTTTTATTAAAAAAATTTTCTTGATACAAGAATTCATATTCTTAAAACTTTTCAAGAATATATAATAATAATAATAATAATAATAATACTAAAGTTAGCCGAAATTTTTAATTTTTTGATTATTTTAATAATTAAATTGAAACAAAAAAATTTTTTTTAAATTGTACTTACAGTTCTTCAAGTTTTTTTCAAATTAAATTTTTTTTAATAATTTTTTCAATAAAAAAACACTAAAAATTTTTAGATGTCGTCTAACTTAATTTTCAAGAATATTCTTAGCTCAAAAACTAGTTAAATTGATTGAAATAATTATTACTTAATTTAAATAAAGCTATTCTCTTGTTTATCTATTATCCAAAGATAAATATTGATGCTCTTCTCTTCAGAAATTAATAATTAATAATAATTGTTAATTGAGTAAAAGTATTTTTTTTTTCTCAGAGTAATAATAATTATTAATAATAATAAATTAATAATAATTTTATAGATTAAATAAAATTGTAAGTTGTGATTTTCTACCGAGTCTTTGCAAATTATAAAATACAAATAATAAAGTTGAGATAAACAAGTTGAATCGTGTGAGAATTTGTAATAAGCTAAGTGATGAGACAAAAATAAACATAGATGTTAATGGGTTTTTCAGATGCATTTCCTGAGTTTGAGTATTTGTATTTATGGATACATTGCATTTACAAGTGCACGAACTGAAGAAGATCAAGCATCATCACCTGCAGCTAACACTGAGATAAGACTCGGGATTCCGCCGCCTGAAAGATGTTTTTATCAAGATGCCTCCGAGTGCCCTAAGATTGAAAATCCTGATGATTGTCCCTGTAAAAGAATTCCAATACTTTCATCCAGTAATAATGAAGAATACGCTGTGTTTTGTTGTGATTTAAATATCAAAACCTTTGAAACCGGTCTTGCTTGCAGCAGTAAATATTTAAATATTTATTTTCATTATAAATTTATTATTTATTGCTATCAATTTATTTAATTATGTGTGTGTTAAATTAATTATAATTATCTTTATAGATTTCCCGGTTAATGTATCATATATTCATATAAGAAATGCAACTCTAGAAGCCTTAAATGTTAGTGAGGTCAAATGGAGACGACTCAAATCACTAGCCATCACAGACGGTAAAATAAATCGTATCAAAGGTCAATTTCTTATGATGACACCGACTCACTGCTTAAATCTGTCAAATAATGCTCTTACGGAGATTGAAAATAATTCCTTTACAAGATTATCTCAATTAACAAGTTTAGATTTATCTTATAATAATATGACACATCTGCCGGCATTAAATATAATGAATGGTCGAGAATTTTGGCTTGATATCTCTGGTAATAATTAAATTTAATTATTTTAAATGGGATTAACATTTAAAAATACATTTTTTTATTCTTTAGCTTTATAATATTATCTTTAATTATTATTGCTTTATTTAAGGAACTAATACTCTTTGGTGTCATGATGTCTCCCAGTATATAAACAAGACAGGAGATAAACAGATTATTTTTAATCGTGAAAATGAGACAGTTTGCTCAGCTAGTAAAACTTGGAGGTGGTTCAATACTACTGAGCAAGTTCCATTAGAACAAGTTAGACTATTAAGTTTGGTAAATTTTATATTTTTTTTATTATAGAAATACAATAATAGTCATTTTAAGTATTAAAATATTATAGTTTTAATTATTATAATTATTAGCTTCAAACTGAGTGTCCAAAAGGAAAAACTTGGCAGTGTCAATGTAGTTTTATTAGACTCAATATCGTACAGGGAGAAAAACCAGTAATGGCTGTTGAAGTTGATTGTAGTGGTAATCAATTAACTAGACTACCTCAACGTCTTCCACCGAATACAATCGCTCTTAATGTTTCTTATAATAATGTAAGTAAAGGCTAAATTTTTTTTTAACATTAATTATTTAACTAACAATCTTGCAGTCACTATGTGACTGCCGTGATTTGTGAACTATAAGTAAATGGAATTTTGCTTTATTAAATAATGACTTTTGTTAAATTACACTGTACTTTCTTACCTATTGACGTTTTTAAAGATATAAACTCATCCCGATGTTACACTCATCAAGAGCTTTCATTTGAGTACCCACATGCATTTTTGATATATTTTTCATATATACATATATATAATATATATAAATATATGAAAAATTGATGTGGGTACTCAAATGGAAGGTCTCGATAAATGTAAGGTCAGGGTGAGCTTGTATCCTTAAGAATGTTAATATATCACGAGATACAAGGTCATTTCTTATGTTAAATTGGATTGTACTTTTTTAAATATTGACATTTTTAAAGATATAAGCTCACCCTATTGTTATACTCATCAAGAGCTTTCATTTGAGTACACACATGCATTTTGATGTTGGTACTCAAATGAAAGGTCTCGATGAGTGTAATGTCAGGGTGAGCTTATATCTTTAAAAATGTCAACAGTTTACAAGATACAAGGTCATTTCTTCATTATGTATCTAGAGACAGAACATTTTCGAATGCAACCTAAATACTTATCATAATAAATTGATTAGTGTTATAGTGATAATTGACTCCAAATTTTTGCAATACATTGAATAACAGTTAAAATTTGTAATTCATTATAGATAACAACCCTTGACGAAATAAGTGGAAATTTATGGTACCATGATCTTCAGAAATTTTATGCTGATTACAACAACATTACGTCGATTAATAAAATTGAAGGGTCGAAATTTTCTGATAATTTTGAGTTCTTAAGTCTCCGCCACAATAAAATTAAATCAGTACGTATATCATTATTATAATAATTCATAGTTTTATAATAAAATATTTCTTCGATTTATTATTTAATGATTAATAAAATTTTCATTGAATTTATTTAAAGGTACCAACGTACATTTTAGTACCTAATGTTCACAATAAAAATCATCTAAGTCATCGATACGTAAAACTAGGTGGTAATAAATTGCTTTGTAATTGTAATACAGCAAAATATTTAAAACCATGGCTGCAAACAAATATACTTGATCCTGATGAGGTTCTATGCGAAAATGTTAAGGAAAAAGTTGTTGACTTAGAACCGTCCAAAATGTGTGTTCATCCTGGTGATTGGACAGACTATATATATTACTTGATTGCATTTGAAACATTAATGCTAATAAGTCTTATTGCTAAAGTGTCTTATGATTATTGGATTTTCAAAACCGCAGGATATTTACCTTGGCCGGCTAATAAAATGCCGAAACTACCTTGTGATTGGCTGTGCGAGGCATAAATTAAATATATATATATATATAGATGCATATATTTGTCCATTTATTATATATTGACCATATATTTTTAAATTAATATACTGAGTTTGTTACAAACAAAAAAAATTTACAAATATTGATCGAATCAATAATCAAAAAAGTGATATTTTTAAAGTACATTCATAACTTTTAGCAAGATATTTTTATATACATACTTTATGATGTAAGCTTTTAATTGAACAAATTTACATTATTTTGTATTAGTTATTTGTATATAAGAAATTAATTTACTAGATCAGACTGATGCTCTTGTTAAATTTTTTTTTTTTTTAATTAATAAATATTGATGAAACAAAAAAAATTTTTTTTTATATTAGTTTATTAAATTTTAACGCATGATATTTTGTTATTCAATTATTAAGAAAAATCGAATTTATAGCATTAAAAAAAATCAAAATTTATTTTTATGCTTGAGTAAAAATATTATGCTCTAGTCGTGCGAAATCGTGATTCCAGTTCCTTTATATACATTTCTATTATATGAATATCTAGTTTTTATTTATCATCTTTACTAACGTGTTTTATGTTTATTTTTGTTCTTAGATAAATTATTTACGTTTATCATTTTAGTAAATTTATTTAGTTCTTTATCTTTATTTGCAAATCTTTCTTTATATTAATCAGTATACTCATATTTGTTTGTTTAACAATTTTCTCTCACTGAGTAAACAAAAAAAAATAAAAAATACATTCTTTATCATACAATAGAAAATCTTAAAAAGTGCAAATAGATAATTTCTTAATTTTTATTTAAAAAATTTTATTTTTATAATATTTATTTTATTTTTAAACTTTAAAAGTTTTCAAATATTTTTAAAAAATAGCACGTATAGATTTTCAAATTTCTAACATGTGGAATTTTTTCTTTTAACTTTTTTTGTAATAATTTTATTAATAAAAAAAATTCTGAAAATTGTCAGCTGTCTGCTAATTTTAATGACATTAAAGTTAGCAGTCACCCAATAATTTTTTAATTTTATTTAACAAACAAATTTATTGGCAAAAATTATTTTTAAAAAGATTGCATTTATAATTTTTTAAAATTTCTTCAAGTCAATTTTTTTTTTTATTTTTATTTGCCAAAATTTAGTTGTTAAAAAAATTATTAAATATCTGATAACACTAAAGTTAGCCGACATTTTCAATTTTTTAATTATTTATTATTTATTAAATAAAAACTAAAAAATATTTTTAAAAAATTGCACTGATAGTTTTTAAAGTTTTTTACAAGTGAAATTTTTTATTTTCTTCTTTTTGTAATAATTTCTCAATAAAAAAATTTCTGAAAGTTTTTACATGTCGGCTAACTTAATTTTCATAAATATTTTTTAGAATAAAATTCGAATCTAAAATAACAAAAAAATGTTTCCTTGGATTAATTAATTTCATTATTTCCATTAAATGACAGACATTAGAAATTTTTTTATAGTTTTATAACAATGAAATTATTATAAAAAAAATTTAATAAATAAATTCCACATGTGAAAAGTGAAAAAATTATTAGTGGAAATTTTTAAAAGAATTTTTTATTTGTTAAAAAAATTTTTAAAATTGACAGCTGTCAGCTAACTTCAGTATCATCGTATAAAAACTATTTACGCGGCGTAAGTGCTGCCATCTTTGAGTTCAGTTTAAAACATATTTAAGTTTTGTTTATTTTTCACAGTCTCGTATTTAGATTATTTTTCATAATAATAAAATTTTTAACTAATCAACATTGACGGCATTATTTTTTTATTATTGTATCACTTAACCTTGATAAACTTGACGATTAAGCACACACCAACTGACTGTAAAAAACTCTTAGATAATATAAATAAAAAATTTAAAAATTAAAGTGACAAATTGAGGTGTTTGTTCTTGTAATAGTTGTCATGTTAAAATGGCAAATACTGTGTTATTAATATTAACAAATTCATCAAAAGTAGGTAAATTATTACCAGTAATTCAAAGACATGTGTCTAAAACACTTTATATACAATATTTTCCCGACAAACATTTACCATCTGGTAGTTATTCATCATTACTCCAATGGAAATTGTTACCCAATCATTACCAGAAGATTGCTAATATTTACGCATTAGCAACAACATTCTTGTCGAAAATAGACGTCAGAGTATTAATTTCAAGTACTAAAAAAAGTTCATTAATCTCCACAGTGCGTCCTATTGAGTTAGTTATTTTCGACAGGAATTACAGTAAAGAGGATGCTAAAATGTTTATTAAAAATTGTATAAAAAATTCAGCAGAGCCGTGTAATTTTATAGCCATCAATGATCCTCAAGATGCAGATGAATGTTCAGCTGAAATTCTTGATGATGATGTTAGCAACAACGAAAACAAAATATATAATAATACAGTTCTTGGTGGAACATTTGACAGACTTCATAATGGCCATAAAATTTTATTAAGCAAAGCAATACTTAAATGTTCCAATAAATTGACAGTAGGAGTTACGGATAGCAGTATGATATCTAGAAAAATATTATGGGAGCTGATAGAACCTTGTGAAAAAAGAATGAACGCACTGAGAGAATTTCTCAATGATGTAAATCCAAATTTAATTTATGATATTGTACCGATAAATGACATCTATGGACCTACCAAGGATGATCCTTCATTTGAAATGATTGTAGTTAGTGAGGAAACCCAAAGAGGTGCAGCTAAAATAAATGAGCTACGTCTCCAAAAAGGATTGAATCAATTAGATGTTGAAGTTGTCAAATTAGTTGAAGATTCTCATCATAGTAATAATAATGAAGAAAGTAAGATAAGCTCAAGTAATTATAGGATAAGGTTGCTTGGTACACGATTAAAAGAACCGGTAAGTAATATAATTAGGAGTAACTAGCAACCTTGCAGTTACTACGTGACTGCTGAGACTTTTGAACTATAAATAAAATTCTGCTTCATTAAATAATGAATTTTCTTAAATTGCACTGTACTTTTTTAATTACTGATATTTTTAAAGATATAAGCTCGTTCTGATGTTACACTCATCAAGAGCTTTCATTTGAGTACCCACATCAACTTTTGATATATTTTTTATATATACATATATATATATATATATAAATATATAAAATATATGAAAAATTGATGTGGGTACTCAAATGAAAGCTATTGATGAGTGTAACATCGGGATGAACTTATATCATTAAAAATGTTAATAATTCTCAAGATAGATATAAGGTCATTTCTTCATTGACTCAAATTACACTGTACTTTCTTAGATATTGATGTTTTTAAAGATATAAGCTCATCCCGATGTTACACTCATCAAGAGCTTTCATTTGAATACCCACATGAATTTTTGATATATTTTTCATATATACATATATATATAATATATATAAAATATATAAATATATGAAAAATTGATGTGGGTATTCAAATGAAAGGTCTTGATGAGTGTAACATCAGGATGAGCTTATATCTTAAAAAATGTTCATAATTCACAAGATACAAGTTAATTTCTTAATTATGTATCTAGAGATAGAGCATTTTCAAATGCAGCCAAATACATATCTTTTAAATACTATATTAATAAATTACACTAATAATAATGAGAATACGTTGATTAATAAAGCAATTGTTCATTTCCACTTTTTTTATTAGAATATTACCGGGAAATCTTTGAAACCTTATATTATTGGTCTAACTGGAAGTATCGCTAGTGGTAAATCTTCAGTAGCTGAAAAACTAAACTCTCTTGGTGCTGAAATAGTTCACTGTGATAAATTAGCCCATGATCTATACAACCCCGGCCAGCAGTGTTTTAATCAAGTTGTAGAAAATTTTGGACAACAAATATTGACTTCAAGCGGTCAAATTGATCGCAAAGCTTTGGCAAATATTGTCTTTAGTAATAAGGTAATTTATGTGAAGTTAATTAAATTGGTATTAATGCTGTAAGTACTTTAACTTTTATTTAATCTATCAATTTTTTTTTTTTTCTGTAATTATATAGGAAGAGCTTGATAAATTAAATAGAATTATGTGGCCAGCAATTCTTGATGTTGCAATGAGTAAAATCAAAGAATTACAAGCTCAAGGAGCAAAAATAATAGTAATGGAAGCAGCTGTTCTTATCCAAGCAAAATGGCAATATGTTTGCCATGAAATATGGACTTGCATTATTCCCCATGAAGAGGTATATCATTGTCTTCTTATTTATTAAATCACAATTTATAGTAATGTAATGTATAATATTATTTAATGTGATAACAGGCAGTGAAACGAGTAATGGAACGAAATAATTTAAGTAAAGAAGAAGCTGAAATGAGGATAAAAGTTCAACCAAGTAATGTCGAGCAGGTTAACGAAGCAACTGTTGTCCTATCAACTTTATGGAGTCATGATGTAACTCTTAGCCAAGTCCAAAAAGCATGGGAATTACTAAATCAATTTTTATCTAAGCAATAATTTATACAAATGAAAATTTTTTAATCGGATAGAGAAAGAGATTGTTAATACATATTTTTATCGTTAAAAAATCTTTTATTTCAATCATATTTTTTATATTTAAATAATTTAACTATTTTTTAGAATATTATTTTCCTCATGGTCGCTCTTTTCTTGAATTCTGGTCATCAAAGTGCTCAAAAATGTTTGAAAGTCTGATTTTAATTTGTTTCTATTTTCTTCTACATTGCAATTTACTTGAGATATTTTAGCGAAGACACTAGCTGAATAAATATAAGAACAATTAGTGATTATTTTTAAATTTATAATCAATTTAATACCTACACAATCGTTTAGGTGCATCGGCAATTTGTTTATCTGATTCAAAAAAAAATACCACACAGTCTTTAGGTTCTAATTGAGATTTTAGTACAAAGTAATTATAAAATTTTTCAAGTTCTTGAATTTGATCGTCGGTTTTTTTATTATATACAAATATTAGTCCTTGTACATCTTTTCTCAATGCCGACCAACAATCTTCAAACCTAAAAATATTTTTTTTTTTATAATACAAGACAAGAATATGTTTATTATTTTAATTATTTATTTTACTTATGATCGCCGCTACAATCCCACAATTCAATATCGATTTTTATTTTTTTATTTTTAACGTCTACATCCGATGCTTCAAATTCTAATATTCTAACACCTTGTGTAGGACGATAATCATAACCCATTCCTGTGGCATCAGCGAGAAAATTACCAATTGTTGTTTTTCCAGTCTAATAATTATTTTTTATTTATTATTAATTATTAATTACTAATTATTTGCAGTAAGAAATAATTTTAATAATAATACTTACCGCAACTGGGCCAATAATAACTATTTTCAACGGTTTCATGCTGACGTGTACACTCAAGAGTTAAAACAAGGGATATTTGTAAAGAGAAGGAATGTTTTGAACAAGGTTGCCTTGGTAACAAAATAAGAAACAAAATATATAAATACCAACTTAATATATTGACAATTATAAGTAACAAAACATATGCATTATAATACTTAGCAAGAAGTCTATGAAAAAAAAAAATTAACTATGATGATATTGATTCGTTTCAGAGTTATTAATTGTAAGAATAGCTAATTAATGCCGGTGTATGATAGCGAAAAATAATAAATCCAAATCTATTATTGATTTGGTACTATGTTGGCATTACATTATGTCTGCTAATTGTAATTTTTAAAGTATTATGTTTACAATTATGATTGATAAGAATTAAGTTTATTGAGGAGTGTCTTGAATTAGCGTCTGGTTAGACTCTTCAGTTTCAGTAGGATATTCCAAACCAAAAAGTCCTTTAAGAGCAGCTTTTGCTGCGGCTTTCTTAGCATCTTTTTTGTTTTTAGCTATAACAAAAAAAATATATTTATAATTTAAGTAAAATATTTAACGTATAACTCAAGAGGGAACACCACTGTGACGGTAGAAAAAAAACTATGTGACTGCCGTGACTTGTGAACTATAAATAAATAAAATTTTGCTTTATTAAATAATGACTATAGTTAAATTGCACTGTAATTTTTTAACTATTGACATTTTTAAAGATATAAGCTCATCCCGATGTTACACTCATCAAGAGCTTTCATTTGAGTACCCACATGCATTTTGATATATTTTTCATATATACATATATATAATATATATAAATATATAAAAAAATGATGTGGGTACTCAAATGAAAGGTCTCGATGAGTGTAACATCGGGATGAGCTTATATCTTTAAAAATGTCAATAGTTCACAAGATACAAGGTCCTTTTTTAATCGTGTATCCAAAGATAGAGCATTTTCGAATGCAGCCTGAATACTTATCATCATAAATTGATTATTGATGAGAATGATATGAAACCATGAAAAGGCACAACTCCAGGTCAAAACTTTTTCAACAATACCGGCCACAAAATTTTGCTTATTCTCTTAATAATATAGATGGAAATGTAGGATAATTATCTTTAATGTACCCTTAAATTAATAAAATAAAAAAAATCCGATCCCCAAATCCCTTTATTTTCCCTGTCACAAAAATTCCCGAAAATCACCTTTTTTTTTTGACCGTCACAGTGATGTTCTCCCTTAAGAATTGTTATCAAATTTTTTTTTCTTACCTTCACCACTGTAAGATGTCCCGTCAATGTCAACGGCTAGAGTGAAATATGTATTAGGAGGATTCCCACGCCGGTTTATTTCGGTATAAACTGTGCCTGGTCTCATTTGATTAAGTAACATCACCGGATGAATTGTTTCTGCGTTTGCTGGAAGTTTTTTTTCCAGTGAAGGTTTCGGCTCAGACTTGGTTTTAACTGGTTGTTGTAATCCAGGTCGTGGTATAGGTACGACAGAACCTTGATTTTGCCATTCAACAAATAATTTGTACAAAGCAAAGCTGGCTAATGAACTCCATGGAATATCATCAGATTCTTCGTTTCCGGAGATTTCCATGGGCGTTACACCACTCACGGAAGAATCATCAGCTGGGGGTTGCTCATCATTTTGAATCTCTTGGCTACTAGCAACAGATTCTTTTCCATCGGTAGCATCATCAAATTTAATTTTTTTAGCTGCGGCATTCATTTTTTCAAGAAGCAAGCTTTTTAATGCATTTTCAGCAGCATTCTGACGTGCTAATGGTTTTGAAAGACCCTGTCCGACGTAAGTTTTACCTTCCAACTATAATCAATGCATAAAAAAATTAATAAAATTCTTTTCAAGTTTTTAAATTATTAAATAATTATAATTTATAATTAATAACATACCTCCGCATGAACAAGGAACATTGAAGTTGGTACGGTATTATTTTCTACAAGATGAAATTTAACACCAGCTTTCATTTCATTCAATACCATAATCGCATTCTTGGGCATCAAAGTTTTCCTCAAACGCTGATTCATACGTAAGCGCTTCAATTTTCTGTTGACTTTAACTAAAAATTCAAAAAAATTTTGTAATTAATTTTCAACATTAATATTTTAAATTATTTTAAAATATCCATTTAAAATTATCAGATCATCTGTTCACATTGACTCATTTATTATTCTACAATCACTCTAGTAAATAAACTAATTGTAAATAATATAACAAATTAGTAAATGTACTTGATGTTTGGATATAAAGAATCTTCAAATTTGCGCAGTGAAATGTCATCATAACTTGTAATTTTTTAAATTAAAGTTAAATTTTATGCTACTGAATTTAACAGATTTCTAAATTTTTTTTTGATTTTTATAACATTTAAATTATAATGACAAAAAAGCCCATTTGGCCACAGTCGAGATGGAAAGTATATTTCTTAAAAAAAAAAGTATAATCAACTAGAAAAGAAACTATTTTCATGTTTTTTGTCCGAGAAATATGTGTACCGAATTTCATTAAAATCTGTTGAGAATTTTTGATAAAATAACATATATAATTAGGTTGTATTAGTATTTAAGAAATGATGTTTAAGAAGTGATTTCTTAAATACAAATCTATCAGTGCACATTGCCTGAAAATGGTTCAATTTAACTCTTAACTTCGATAAAATAATTAATAATTGCCAAAATTTCGATGTTATATGCATCAAATTGAAGATAATTTTACAAGCTTACTCATTAATTTTTCAAAAATTAGCTATCTCTTTTCAATCGAAATTTATACGCCAATAAAGTCACTGAAAATGTGATTTTCACTATTTTGAAAGTTTTAAATGGCCGCCATTTCTAAACTAATTGACGAATTTTGCTCATCTTCGAACTCATTCAATGTTATTATCCAAAAAATATGTGCACCAAGATTCATCTAAATCCGTTGAGAATTGTAGACGCTATCGTGTCCACAAGCCGCGTTATATACATAGATAAATAAATATATAAACTTTTGAACCAATACTAATTTTGAGTCTTACTTGACTAAGTAAGTAATAAAATGACAAAATTCCGTGTGAATTCCGACACAAGGGCCAATGCAATAGATAGATTTCTACGAAATGTAGCAAAAAATTCACATGTAGAAATTTTAAAAAGTTATAAGTGTGAATTTTAAATAATATTTTTTTTTTTTTAAATAATTGATTAATTACAAAAATTGTTAGATGTCTGCTAATTTCAGTATCATTAAATTTTTCATATTAATGTAGTTAAAACCTATCAAACTTACCACCAGGAACTTTAATGCGTTTCCATTTAGGTTGATCGGCAGTTTGTTGAGGCATGGGTTCATCATTCATTTCATTATTTTCAGTTTCTGGGTCACCCAGTGCAGGTATTTGAACTGGAGCAACTGGAGCAGCTGGTGCAGGTTGAGGAGTTTGTTTAAGAATCGGCTTCAAGCGTTGAGGCTGACTAACTTGCTGTTGGTTTGCTTGATTTTGTCCTGGTTGAACATTCGGTTGCTGTTGTTGGGGTTGTTGCTGTTGCTGTTGCTGCTGTCTTAGTTGTTGCTGTTGTTGTGGCTGCTGCTGTTGCTGTTGCTGTTGCTGTTGAGGCGCAGCACCCTTGAATTGTTGATTGGTCGAATTTCCAGGTGTCTTTTGAGCGGCATTTTGTTGATAGTTACCCTGTTGAATGTACTGAAAAATAGAGGGTGGGTCGCCGCTACACAAGAACCTCTACGGTTGTACTATCCCACCAGGGCCTAGCATCGCGTTAATTAATTACTGGCACTATGGGTTTTTACTACACTTAGCTTAAACTCGCCAGTTATTTTCCCTCTGATTATCATTTAATTCGATACAACTTGCATATACAAGAATATGTAAGTCGTTCATTTTCAAAAATAATAGATATTTCATAAACTGAATTATTTTTTATTTGTTGAAAATAAAAATTCAAGAGTCATCGCTGGCAATTTATACTAGGTGAGTAAATAACGAACTTGCCCCTGGCGAAATGCACCTCCTTGATATTGTTGCATAGCTATTTTAACCTGCTTCAGCAGGATAGGGAAAAGTCGAAGTTCTAATTAGTTTTACATGCACAAATAATAATTTAAATAACCTTCCCAGTGTTTTGTGTATTCCATTGAAATATTTATCAAAACTCTCGTGTTTGATAATTTTTTCAAAGTATTTTTAAATATTTAATTGTAAATAATAATCATAATTTAAATTAATAAAAATTAAACTTCAATAAAAACAAAGATTATTTTCATTTATATAATGAAATATAAATTTTGTTTAATGGTATTCAAATGTTTGTTTGTGGGAAAATAATTTATTTAAATCATAACCTGGCAACGTCGCTACTAAATAAGGTCAAAAATTTTTTTATTGTAAAACTTACGGTGTTATTTTGAGCAGAGTAAGAAGGATTCAACATTGTTCCACGACCTGAAATTAAATATAATTTTTCAATACATATTATTTTTAATTTTAAATGACTTAAAGTTAGCAGTCAGTTAATAATTTTTTTTAATAATACTAAAGTTGGTCGACGTTTCAAATAAAAATTTTTTTTTTATTTATTAAATTAGAACAAAAAAATATTTTTTAAAAATTCCACTTAAGGTTTCCCAAGTTTTTTTACAAATGAAATTTTTTTTATTTTTTTTAAATAATTTTTTCAATATAAAAAAAATCTTAAAAATTTTTAGATGTCTAAATTAATTTTCATTTTTTTTTAACAAATAAATTTCTTCCGGAAAATAATTAAAAAAAAATTGCATTTTTAATTTTTCTAAATTTCTACAAGTTAATTTTTTTATTTATTTTTATTATCTTAATTTATTTGTTAAAAAATTATTAAAATCTAATAAATATTTCCTAAATTAATTTTAATTAAAAAAAAATCAATCACTTATAATTGATCAAAAATTTTTAGAAAATATTAAATAAAATAGCAAATTTCAATTATAAATACTGTAAATGTAAAAATAAAATATTCAACTAAATTTCACTGCAATGCAGTATTGATTTTTTTTTAAGCGTGGTCTGCAATAGCGTCACTTTTTTCCCTTTGAAGAACATTTATAATTACCAACCAAATATTCTTTATTTTTCATATCAGATTAATAGTAATATTTTATATCAAATAGATATATTGATAAATTACGTAATTAAATATAAAAAAAAATATTTACCAGCTCCGTAATTCTGTTTGCTTTGATTGGGAGTTTGGTTTCCTGGGCCACGGCTTCTGGTGAACATTTTGTTTAGAAGTTATTTATAGATAGTTAAATTTAATATAAATTGACGATTTTTTTAAATATTATATTCAATTTATTAATTTTTTGCACAAAATTTAATACCAGTAAGATGAGTTTTAAAATATTTAGAATAATATAATGCCTGCCTAAGCCGGAATGTTACGGAATGTCTTTTGCAGTTTAGAGTGAGTTCACCACCATTTGATGCCTTCCATTAAATTTTTACTCGACAGTTTCAGGTCATCCACACGAACCGGTAACCGGAAGTACCTAAATTATTTATTACCGACGGAACTTGCGATTTATGAAGCTGGAAAATAAAAAATGTGCAATTAAAAAAAAATAGGATTATTAAAAACTGTGATTCTAAATTTGATTTAAGTAAAAATAAAATTCAAATTGGTTCAATTGTATGACACTGAAGTTAGCAGACGTCAAAAAATTTTTAATTTTTTTTTATTAATTAAATTACAACTAAAAAACTATTTAGAAAAAATTGCAATTATAGTTTTTCAAGTTTTTTACATGTGAAATTTTTTTTTTGATTGTTTAATTGAAATTTTTTCAATAAAAAATTTCTAAAAATTATAACTTCATTTTCATTCAATTGTTGCTTACTAAAATGACCACTTGAGGTCAGATCAGTTGTGCTTAAAGAGTGAACTTGAAATTTTTATTTACTTTTAAATATTCAGTCGTGCTAATAATTTTACGTGTTAGAGGGAGAGAATCCCGAATGAAAATTAAAGTAGCTGATATTTAATAAATTTTATAATTTTAAATTAGTTCAAGACATGAAGAAATTTTAAAAAATTAAAAATGCAATTTTTTTAAATTAATTTTTTGGAAGAAATTTTTTTGTTAAATAAAATTAAAAAATTGTGAAGTGACTGTTCGTGAATCCCGAACAAACCCGAGGTTAATTCCCATGGTGGGATGACTATTATTAATTTATTTAATTCATTGAAAACATTTTATTGGTGCCGAATTAAAGAACAAATTTTTTATTTTCTTTGTGGACATTAATTAATTTATTTGTGTTATAATGTTCTTAACCTCAAATTTAAATGACAATTTGATGATTAATAATTTTCATATATTTAATCAATTTATTTTAAAGAATTATTTCTTTGATTTTCTTGAATTTTTGACAAAATAAAACAATTTATAAATATGACTGACCGAGCAGACGGTGAAATAGTCGCAGCACAACGAGCACTCCAAATAGCATTTCAAACAATGCAGGAACGCTGTCATCAGCTGGAAAATCGGCTGGCTGCTGTCGAAGAGGAAAATATTAAATTAAGGATTGAAAAAGGTAAAGAACTGTCTTGTGAGCTGGTTATTCCTAATGACGATCCATTAACTGTCCAACAACTCCAGGTATTTTTTTTTTTTTATAGTTTCTAAAGATATTCATTTTTGTTTATTAATTTTGCATTGTTTTTTTTTTTTTTTTTTTTTTTTTTTTTTACTTTAGGAAAAAATAGAGGAATTAACGAAACAAAAATCCCAATTGACACATCATGTCCTGATGGTGGCTGGTGAGAACCGGCAGCTCTGGAATAGACTCACCAGATTAACAAGAACCAACAAGAGTCTAGGAAACAAGTTGATAAAAATATCCGACACGTTGAAGCAGAACCAAGCCAGTCAACCGAATAATGAGGTTTGCAGTATTAAAGACGTAACTTTCAATGTTCCGAAGAGTTACGACGAAACTAACTCGGAAGATGAAAATAAAGATGTTAGTCTTGAGGAAATTTCTTTGAGATTGATCAATAGTATTATGTTGGAGAAATCTGAGCTTGAACAACAGTACACTGAAGTAAGTTGTCTTTTTTTTATTAGTAATTAGTAATTAGAGTAATATGGAAATCTATCTTCTATACTAATAAATGGAGAGCCGATTTTTTTGTACGGTTATACTGCGAAAACTACTGAAACTACAATTCTATAAAGCGCCCAGTGTAGCGGGCGAATAACAACTAGTAAAGGATATACATTATTATTTTAATTGTATTTATTAATTTTTTAGATGCTGGCTTTACAAAATGGAGATGATATTAAATTGAGAAATGTTGGGTTTGCATATCCGGATGATAATAACGATTCATTGCAACAACTTAAACAATATGAGAATAAATTATTTCAGACGAAGAATAATTTAGTACAACAGCAATTAAAATTGAAGAAAGTATTACATAATTTGTGTAAATTAAAAAAAGGTAATTTTTTTCTTTTAATTTTCGATTACATGTTTAGATGGATCATTAATTTTTATTAATTAATTTGATTGATTAGTTTTTATAATCATATTCAATTTAATCAATTTTAAAATTAAATTTGTTCAATTTCATAACTTTTGTTGATATTTTAGCTTGAAAAACTTGAGCTAATATTTAAATATTTCATAATCTATATTATTAAGAGAATAAGCGAAATTTTATGGCCAGTGTAGTATTGATATGATAAAATGCAATTAGCAATTAGCAATAGTTATTTATGATTTAAATAATTGAGAGAGAAAGGAAAATTTTGTAACAAGCATATTATTATTTTTAAAGAAAATTTTATAGCTTAATTTGGCATCATCAGAGAGATCTTGATAAGAATTAGTGCCTTTTGGTTTTATATATTTTTTAGTAGTCAATTTTTTATGTCAAGTTTTTGGAGGAGTTTTTAATAGTATTTTGATTCTATAAATTTGTTCGGTCACATTTGTCCATTAAATTATTTGTAATTGATCCTGTGGTAGTACTATTATTTTTAAAATTTATTTAAAAAAAAACCCAAACTATTAATGTGATTATAAATATAAATAAATCATTAAGCCAAAGTTTTCTTATTCATAATTCGTAAATCTCAACAGTCGCATAGTGACTGCAAGTTGCTAGTATAAATATTAATTTATGAAAAATACTGTTAAGGAATTCTTGTTGATCAAAAAAAATTTCAATTACAGTAAGCAAAAAAGTATGTCAAACTGGTACCCAGTTTGATTCTGACGACAGCCTACGTGAGCACGGATCAACACAAACAAGTCTTCCACCAGAAGCTTTACACCCGGACAAACCTGACCAAGGAACAGCCAAAAATTCACCAGTATCAGGAAATATATGTCCCATGTGTGGATCATACTTCGAGCCGAAAACTTCGTTCAACATTTTTCACGAACATGTTCTCAGCCATTTTTCATCAGACCTATCAACAGAGGGTGAATTGTTATCACCTTAATCAGTACCTTAAACTCATGCTAAATAAATAAAAGAACAAACAATTCCAACGACGAATTAAAAAAAAAAAATTATATGCAATGGGTAAATAGATTTATTTTAATTGTAATTTAACTTTATTTAAATAAAAATTTTTTAAAACAATTTTTAGAGATATACTACAATGATTTCTTAAGCTAATTCGGTAGGTTTTACTTCGGTGCTCTGTGAAGGCTCTTGAGTGGTAGGCTGCATCAAGTTTGAATGGAACCAAGCAGGTCTTGGCTTAGGCAACTCGACAATGCGTTGTCCTTTCCAGAATTCCGCTGGTTTTTTATCCTTCTCTCCTTCATATAGCACCACCACATCTTTCTCGACCGGCTCGAGACCCAAAGTATTGACAATTACCTCCTGCATTTCTTTGGTCTCTAATTTTACTTTGTTGTAGCAATGCTCTGTGATAATTAATTTATTAATTTTATTGACTGGAGTTTAATAGAAAGAGAAATTATAAAAATAAGTTTAAAACTTACGACACAATTTGTCAGCCTCGCGATCAAGACCGCAAGTAATACATGGAACTATATTTGTTTTTGGTACAAAAGGCTTCCAATTGTATTCCGGGCTTCCATATTTTCTTTTCATACGTTTCTCTAGAGACCGACGGCTTTTTGGTACTGCCCAGAGTAGTCCATCTTTTAAAATATCCGTCAATGGCTTGGAATTTGGAGCCGAGGATTTATTTTCAATGGAATTCAGTTCCAAGGTGCATAATGCTAAAAATTTTTTTTTTTTAGGTAAAAGACCCAGTTATTAACACTGTTCTAGTTGTTTGACATTTGCAATTTTATTCTAATTAAAAATAATAAAATGTCACTTGTAAACAAATTGAAAAACTTTAAGTGCAATTTTAAAAAAATATTTTTTTGGTCAAATTAAATAAATGGAAAAAAATAGAAAAATTAGAAACGTCAGCTAACTTTATCATTATAAAATAATAAACATCTGATAATTTTAAATATTTATTTTAACAAATAATTTATTGCCAAGAAAATTGTTAAAAAATTCGACATGCAGAAATTTAAAAAATCTCCATGTTATTTTTCAAAAATATTTTCTTTATAATAATTTGCTTGTTGAATAAACCAAATATATTTTTTGATTTAAGTTTCATTTAAAATTTTCAACAAAAATAATTCATAAACAATTAAAATAAACATTTCAATAAAATTACAAAAAATGTCTAGGTTATCCGGCGCACACCAATTAATTACATAAAATAAAAAAATAATAAAATAATCACCTGGTGGGAATCTTGTGCCAAACAAATACCCCAGTGTCTCCTCGACTCTATACAACGCAATATCCAAACTTCTCAAAATAATCTTCGCCATTTCAAAATCCAAAAATGAAACTCCAAAATACGTGCACTTTTTTCCTCAACAAAAGAAACAATAAAACTAACCATCCCTTACGATGAAGTTCTTGTAACTGCCACCAGATGTCACCGCCTACCTAAAAATAACTCAGCTGATTTGTTACGAAACATCAGAGTTTTACTCGTGTGCTGTGTGCTTGTGTGATTGTGGTCATCTCGTGCTCTTGCTCACCCTCAATTTCATCAATGAAAATAAAAGTGTCACACCACCATCAAAGGCTTCAAGACAACTATTAATTTCACTCGAACCACCCGCACTTACATTGCATCTACCAGAGGCTTGATAACTCCAAAAACAAAATTCATCGGCTCAAAAAATATTTACGTCATCTGGAGCAACTTAGTGCTGTCATTAACAACCTAGATCGTAGACTTACACCACCTTGGATTTATTTCACCAAAGTAATTTAATTAAAGCGATTTTAGTGCTGTAATAAATTTATCAATCATAAAATCATCAAGATAAAAATTATCAGCATCTAGATCAGGATAGCTAGGAAAAAATTTATGATCAAAGTAAGAGAAGCAAGGATTTAATCAAAATTAAAGGTAATGATAAAAATAATAATAGTAATAATGATAAATATGAAAATTAATTTAGCAGATATTAAATAATTTTTTAATAAATTAATTGTGGAAAAAAAATTGACATGTAGAAATTTTAAGAAATTAAAATTACAATTTTTTTAAAATTAATTTTTCAATATAAATTTGTTTGTTAAAAAAAAATAATAAAAACTGTCCAAGACTGCTAACTTTATTGTCATATGATAAATTTAAATTAAAAGGCGGGAATTAATAAAAAATTCAAATTTTCAGATTTGGAAAAACAGCATCCGAGCGGTATCCTGAGTTGTCAAGCTCTAGAACGAAGTTGAGGATAAAGGTAGTGCTGAAAATAAAGTGGTGGGATAGCTTTTTGATGAATAAAAGGTGGGGAAAGACGGTGATGGTTATACTCTCGAGAGTAAGTTTGAAAGTTCTCATTGCTCGGGACGTTGTTCTACCAGACAACGTGGATTTTATTTATTATTAAACCTACAATCGCGTGTACGTGTTATGGCGTGTATTACGGGTTCCTCGGGTCGGCTCTGTGCTCGGGTCGAAAAATTGTGTCAACAGTCTGGACGATTCGTCCACTTTTGCACCAGGAAAATTACCACAACAGGTGTTAACGAAAAATTACACCAACAAGTGCAACCTATTAGTCTAGTACAATCATGCCGAGTAAGTTATTATATTTATATTTACTATTGATCATTAAGCTTTTATATTCAGTTGCTATTTACAATGAACTTTGATTATTTTATTGCAAATTTAAAATTACCCGGATAATATTACATTAATAATATTATATACTTATTTACGTAATGGACTAAAAATGTTAATTTATTTTAATAACTTGTCAATTATTTTATTGACGTATTCAAATTCATTGTGAAAGTTTTTAACTGAATAATTATTCTTAAACTTTTTTTTATTCGGTTGTAATTTTAAGTATATAAATTTATTTAATTTTTATTGCTAATTATTTGTATTTTTAGCCTGGGTTGACATAACCTAATGCTATACTACTCGCAAGTTTAACCTTTTGTCATGCAAATATCTAAAAAAACAAATTATTACGGAAAAATTAACAATTTTATGGATTTTTTATTTAATATTTAAATTATGTAATATTTTTTTGAAATATTAATGACTTTGAACGAAATTCTGTCGGACCTATATAAATTTTATTTGATATTATATAATAGCAATAATTTTAGAGTACGAGTTGCATTGACACTATGAGAACGATAAGAATTTAAATCGCGCGGGAATTTAGTTTTTTTTTTTTTTTCGCTTGATATTTAAATTTATCCGAAAATATTTTAAATTGAATAAGTACTCACTGACGATTGTTTATTTATTTATTGTAAATATTCATTTAAATGTTATTCGCGGAATTAAATGAGAGCCACGTGAAATCACAACGTTTTCTAGCACGTGAAAGTCATACGATTTTTTTTTTAGGTGAAAACTCGATAGACATTTGTGATTATTACATGTGTGTGTTTATTTTATATAAATACACTTGTGTATAATTATTTTTTATAATTAATTGGAGTTACAATTCTATTTCATTAAAAATTTTATTTTTATTAATTATAATTAAAAATTCATTTTTTTCTATTTTTATACTTCAAAAATTTTCAATAATTTTAATAAGAAATTTCATTTTTATTAATAAAACAATTTTTAAATTTGCCGCTTGAAAAAGGCGCGAAAATTTAAAATTTAATTTTTTAATTTAATTTGAATAATTAAAAAATTAAAAATTTGAGTTAGAATCAATAAAAATGATTGTTTTTTTATTAATACATATATATATATATATATATATATATGTGTTTATATGTTGAGTTAAAAGAAAAAAATGAAAGTTATGAGAAGTTGGAAAGTGGGCGATTTTGAAATGGCACCGAAAAATGTTACTCGTCTTCGAAATAAATTATTATTACAAGAACGTAATAGTTTATAAATATATAAATACACATACACATACTTATATATTTTATTTTTTATATTTATTATTATATAAGTGTATTTAAAAATTATATTTTTATTATTGTAATTACAAAGTTGGTAATTAAATTAAAATTTTTAATTAAAAAAAAATTTTATCAGGTAATTTAAAATTTTTTTATGTCAAAGGAAAATAGTTAATAAAAATAAGTGATAAAAATAATTAAAAGGCAAATTTGTCTGGCAATAAATAAGTAGGCTAACTGGCGGATCCTCTATTCAATATATATATACATACATATATAAAGACTCGCTCTTGACTTTCTCGTACTCGATTACGATTTATTCTTTTCTTCGCACTAATTTGCTCTTTGTAAGAATAAACATCTTTGTGAATCATTTAATATTATTTTACAAAAACGTTAATCCGACTAATGACTAATTTTTTATAACTAATACCTAATTATTATTAAATTATTCCGGACTTATCTCACGGAATTTTTCATTTAGTCGGCACGCTCACCTTTATTATTTTATCGTAAACAGATTTATGATTATAATAACAATTATTATAAATAAATAGTGTATTTATCAAATCGAAAGTTAAATTATCTGCAATTATTTAGATTCTTTGTTTTATGTGGAAAAATAAAAGCAGTCTCCGTGAGTACTTGGGTATTAATTATATTCAAATACACTTTCGATCTTTTATTGTACTGTTTAATTCGACGGACATGCACATAGAAAGAACCGAGACAATTGATTGACGCACTTGTGCGTTTCAAGATTCCGTACGCATTCGGTATAACTTAATAAAAATCACGGTTACGATCAGGAATGCGGCATAGTTTTTTTTTTTACGTCTTGAAAAATTGCATATTTTAAATTTAATTACAGTATTTGATTTTTAAAATAGCAAAACATTAGTCAAAAAGAATGACTAAAATTTTTAATACTTTTTTTTTTCTAGTTACTAAATTGTGTAATCATTTCACATAAAATTTAATTTTTTTAAAAGCTAACTAAGATTTTTTTAATTAAAACATTTAAAATTTTTATTTTGGATTAATTCTTTAATAATAATAAATTTAAAATTATTTGATTTATTTTTTTAATCAAAGTCAGATTCAAATTTTTTCAACTTGATTAATTTTCCAATATTAAACAAAAGTTTTTTTACTTTTGATAAATAAAGTACAAAAATTTATAAAAAAAACTCCATTTTATTTTTTAGACTATATACTTAAGACTTAGACTATTTTCCAACTCTGGCAATTTTTTTAAAATTAATTATCAAATTTACAATAAAAAAAAATCTACAAATAATTTAATTCAAAATGATTAAATAATTTTTTACACAGTCTAAAATTTAGAGTACAAACCAAACTTAAGAATTTTATCTTAATAGATTAAAAAAATTTTTTTTACTAACAAAAACTGTAACTATTCGAGAAAATAAAAAAACAATAACAATAATAGCGGAAAAAATTTCTTAATCACAAAATATTGAATATTTATAAACGAATCTCATTGTTCTGTCATCTTTCGACGGGATACGTGAAATAAATAAATCATCAAGTAGCTGACTATTGATGATTATAAATCAATAAAAAAATCTACAAAATTAGCATACTAACTTTTTACAAACTTTAGCATTCAATTGTTAGACTCCTTATGCTGTGACTTGATTAATAGATTCTCGAAATCGACTATTGTTTACTACAGTCATTAACCACTTTACTCAGGATAATTATAACAACAACAACAACAACAACAACAACAACAACAACAACAACAACAACAACAACAACAACAATAATGATAGGAACATCAATTCTATTGTTCGAAGATTTGCTAACTTTATTTTAATGCTGGTTCTTATTTGGTTGTAAGAAAGTTTCAAGGTTAATTGCAAGGTCGTCCAGTTTAGATCACCAATTTCCTTTAAATATACCTTTATAGTTTTAGAGTTTCACTTATCTATTTTTAGTTGTAAATACGGTAGAATGATGATGAACATATTGGGATTTAGAACGATTGATTAAGTACCCAAGTGTCCCAGTTACCAATGAAGAAATTTCATCTTCACCATAATTTTTCATATTATTTCACAATAAAAATTCCTTCTTCGCCCAAACATTCATTTTTTAACTCAAAAAATAATTTTTTTTTTTTTTTAATGTTGGATTAATTATATTTGTTGTAATTATTATAATTATTGCTAATACTGTAAACTTATCACATGACAGTACAGCCATGTAAAACCAGTATAGTATCTTTTTCTTTTTTTTTTGTTGGTGATATTTATACTCAACTTGCACAATTTCATCCATTACATTCTAGGCTTCAATTTAGATTTTTTTTATCAATTATTTAAAATTATAATCACATTCTTCAAATATTTATTAACACTTTGATTGTAGTTTATGTCATTGACAATTTTATTAAATA